ACAGTAACTCTGATTAAAAGTCAGCTCAAAATGTGAATTTGTGCAATACAGCAGAACAAATGTTCTCTTCTGAACCCCCTCCCCCCCCCCAAAAAAAGTTAATCAAACAACCGGTCTCATATCGCCCTCGTATAAAACTTGACACACGGTTGATGTTGTGAAACGTGCTACTTCCAGACAGCACCTGGTTACCTGTGACGTGACGTGTGACCCGTAGAAAGGACCGGCCTGTCTAAAGGCAGAGCGGCACGCCGACGTGTCCCCCGAGTCTCGGCGTGACAGTGAGGACGTGGCACCGCGTGTTTGTTTTGACTGGTGCTCTTCTGGTCGTCCCGAGCCAGACACCAGAAGAGAGCCGAGGTCTGGTAGACAACGCGGCGGGGAAATGTGTGCTGGGACGACATTTTACGACACGGCGCCGGGCACCGATCCCAGGACCCGCCTTCCTGACTGACTCTGGAGCGCCTCGGTCTCCTCCTCGGGAATTTCCGACATTTTTATTCCCCGCCGATTGAAGTGGGCTGAGGGCGAGAATATTATGTTCTATTCCAACCGCCGTGACTCATTTAAAGCAGCGAGCGCCCCGCCTCCGCTGCTGGTGCGTCCCTTGTTTACGTCCCAGCCCTTCTCCAGATTGAAGTGGCGACCGCCCGCGTCCCGTTCAAGCGCCTTTCGGTTGCTCGCCGTCAACTGACAAAACGCGACTGATCCTCTCCGATCAAAATCTGCCCGTCTCGCCGTTGACCTCCTTTTTCCACCACCCCCCCCCCCGTCATTCACGGCCGTCAACGGCTCTTCTCTCGATCCGACGGGTCCTACCGGGGGCCTCCGATTGGAAACAGCCCACCTCCCGGTTAACCCGGCGCCGAGCCCGCCAACTGGAGAGCTGCCTCTCCTTCTGCTACGCCTTTTTGTGATAATAACAATAACTGTGTCGCAGCGCAGAGGGCTCTGCGTTGAGCCGGCGCCAGGCCGGCTGGCGCGGCGAAGCCTCCGAGCCCCGCCGCGCCGCCTCCAACCGATTCCCCTCCGTCTCTCGGCTGGCGCTGGAGCATCACAGGCATTAAGGCCCGCTGTCAATGTGCTGAGCAGCGGGGGCCACCGCCACCACCCTCGCTCTCTCGCTTGCTCTTTCCGCCTCTCTCCGTCTCCCACTCAATTCTGAATCCAAAAAAAAAAGGTTTTATTGGCAGGACAAATAATATCTTGCTCTTCAAAATGTCTCCTGGCCTCCTCTTTTCTCCCACTCGCTCTACGGGTTGGACCCCCTTCTCCTTCCCCCGACTCTCGCCAGTGGAATCTCGGCGGTAATCATTTACATGAAGTGCGTTGTGTTACGAGAAGATTAGAAAACACTATTAGAGGTAAATAGGTTAGAGGGATAAAGTCAACAACCGATATTACGGCCGCATATTAGAAATAACAGTATTCCCCTGCATGGATGTCCTATTGACCTTATGATATAGAGTTTCACACCAAACTAATAAAGTTTCCTTTTATAAACTGTGATCCTGCATCACTTAACATCAGCTGAGTTTCAGTAAATTGTCTACGTGTTATTGGAGTTTTAGGGGGCATCGACCCCCTTAAAGCTAAGCTTATATAATCTTACATTTCTCTAGAGGACATTTCATATTTTCAGAATTTGTCCAACCAAGCTTTAGCGTTTAGCTTGAGGTTCCACACGTGAAATGTAGTTTCAATATTGTGTCCTCAAAACACCTGGAAGACGTGTCCGTGGAATGTCCGCTTCTTTCTGCTTACTGGAATCTACATGTATGCGGGGAATGTGTATTATTTCGACGCTCCAGTGGATGCGTAGCTTCAAATTGATCCTAACGCTTCCCAGAGGGGGGGTTCATGAGCAATTACATTTAAACGAGCACTTCCAAGACAATTTGCGATAGTGCTCATCAATGTTTGCAGCCGTGATGGATTGCCCGACCAAAACAAAGACACTGGGAAAAAATACTGTAAAACGGACCCTATTATTATAAGGTTGAGATTAACTCAACACAAAAGGGTATCGTTGTTCGTTAGATTGCATTCACGGACACCTTGCAAATGACAAGGAGTCGTAAAAGGATGTAAAGTTGCTCTTTAAAGACCAACAAACGGACATAAATATTATGTTGAATATGAGATCGTTATATCACAGTCTGATTACAGCACTCGCGAACCCACGGCGTTCCTCTGCGCTGCTGCTTTGTGGAGCCAACAGGTGGAACCCGTGAACTCCTACCTGCATGTCAGCTGCGGAGTGTGTGCGCAGTACAGCCTGCAGACGGGCCGCAGCTCAGCACATCCATTCCCACGCACAGCCACTTGTGAAATGAACATAACAATGTGTGCGTGTGTGTGTGTGTGTGTGTGTGTGAGCGGGTACCCCCGCACCACCACCAGCAGCACCAGCAGCACCATGACCACCTACAGAACTGAACTCACTTCATATGACCAAACACAGCCTCCCACCTCGGATACAATAACAAACATGGCCCGAGCACTTGACCACAATTACTGCACCGCAGTCGGAGAAATCCATACATAGTCATCACGGTGGTGACCCTGCTGCTAGATGGTGCGTGTGCGCGTGTGTGTGTGTGTGTGTGTGTGTGTGTGACAACAAAGGAATCCATGCACTGCCACCGGACACAAGAAGTGAGTAAGTGTGTGAGAGGAATGTCATCTACCCCGGTGGCCTTAGCGCTTGACTGTCAAACAAGTGATCGACACCTCGGCCGTGTACGTACAGTGTGTGTGTGTGTGTGTGCGTGTGTGCGTGCGGTATTAAGAGTCAGCCCAGATGAAGACAAAGAGCCCAGCGGCTGAGCTGAGCAGCAGCTCTCAGACAGGATTACACAACAGCTCTTAAAGACTGCTTTTAATAGCAAGACTCTGACTGGATCTTATTTCCTTCTCACTCATCCCATCTAACCGTCCATCCATCCATATACACCCCTCCCCTCCCCTCCGCCTCCCCCCTCCTAACTCGCATCAATAGTGTTCAATCTTCGCCGAATCACACTCAACAAAGTGTGTGCGTGTGTGTGTGTGTTGGCGAGTGATTCTCCACCTCCGTGCTCCTAATCTCATTAAAATCGCTGCCAACTGTCACAGTCCAACATGTGAGTGCGTGTGGGTCTCTCTCTCTCTCTCTCTCTCTCTCTCTCTTTTTGTTATTGTTGAGGAGTGTTATTATGATTGAATCAAGTTGTTTTTCACTCTCTCTCCACCAATCAGATTCACTGGCAGAACAGCCAATCAAAACGTCCACGCAAAGCTGGAACGGGTGCAGGTATCAAGCGTGGAATCCCAGGGCAGCACGAACAAGGCCCGCGGAATTAAGCTCAGCTTTAAATCCAATTTTAACCCCCTCCACCCCCCAACCACACCATATAGATTGGACAGGAGTTGTTGCCGCTCCGGCTTCAATCAAATGGTGATTTCATTGCGATTAATCTGCGTCTTAATACTGCTCAATTTGGAGGCAAGTATGGAGCCAAATGGGATGGCAGGGGCCAAGGAAAGCAGTGAAGGAGGGACAAACAGAAAGGAGACAATTTCACTTAATCATAAAAACGCTGTACGGGATGTGATCACATGACGGGAGAGGATTTGGGGGGGATCAACTCTGTGTCAAACACGCAGATGGTGTGAAAGGCCTGTTAATCCCGCTGCAACTTGCGATTTCCCGTCCTCTGTATTCCTTAATTTGTTAGGCTGTGTCAGAAAAACAATATGCACGCAAAACCGCCACTTCGGGAAAACGAATCTTAAAGGGGCTCCCCACTGATTTTACTGACTTTAATCGTCACGAGCCGCACTATTCACCCTGGGAAAACAAATGAGTGATTACTGCTGTGGCTCTGGAGGGACAAAATGAACCCTGATGACGTTGCGGTGATGTCATCTCGCAGCTTGGACTGAAAAGTGTGAATGCAGTGATGCAAACTGGAGGTGTGATGAGGTTTTCAAATACATATTCTTTCATATTTTTCCTCTCGGGAAAAGAATCTGATTTAAATGTGATGTACAATTCTTTAGTTGCATATTAACTCCAAGTTGTAGGGTGGTTTAATGTCTTCTGTATAGGGACACATCTAGGTAGAATTTACCGAAATGTAATTTTAAACATCACATCTGATTTAGACGTCATTCAGTGAGCTTTGGAATGAAGAGGTACCCAAAACAAAAGCGCGGTCAAATAAAAAGGATTGTGAGAGTGGAAACCACGGGGCCTGGAAACAAAAGGCCAGTAATCCCCAGAAATGATGGGTGGTACTCTTAAATAGATTACAGCAACCAATCTATTAGATTAACCTCCTATTAATTTGAATTTAAGGGATGATCTCCAGTTACATCTGTTTGCTGTGACACCCCATGTCATCATCTCTTGTTATTGTCCTTTTAAACCCCTCGGCTTGTGCCACGGTTTAGCACAGCCCGTGCGTAATACAACGTGCGCGCACTATCGCAGGGGGGATTGGAAAGGGAGGGTGTGGGGGGGGGGGGGGGCGACTCCCAAACGGTTTAACCCGGGCACCCAACTGGCGGCATGGGTGACTCAAGAGCGGCAAATCGGAACGGAGTCACGCTCTGCCCCCCGCGTGACCCAGTAACGCAGAGGAATACGGGCGCGAGACCAGACACTCCACTGTGCGTCACAGTGCGTAATAATTGCCTATCCAAAGGGAGCCATGAAGAGGGGCGGGGGGGGGGTGCTTGGTTCCGTGTGGCTTCTCCTATGCAATCCCTAAATACCGATAAACCCAGTGAACCCATGTGCGTGCTCCCCGCCCCTTTCCACACTCCGTAGTGCGGAGTGATATGGGGACACGCCGCTGACATAAATTGCGGGAACCAAGGGTCAATTATGTGGCTTTCAAAAAATGCAGGATAGGAGTTATGTTGCAGACACGGACTACGGCTAAATGCAGAGCCGCTTCTCCGCTTAAACCTGCACCATGTGTCGGAAGAAGAAAAGCTCTGATGTGGCCTACCTTCCATCCGGCTGAACTGTTGCTGTCGCCTTTATCCTTGAAATAAGGAACAAAGCGAACCATCCAGTCATAAATTTGGGACAGGGTGAGTCTCTTCTCCGGGGTGCTCTCGATGGCCCGGGTAATGAGGTCTGCGTATGACAGGTTCCCCCACGCGTTCCGTCGGGAGGACTTGGCTTTGCGCAGCTGGCCGGCCACGTCGAGCGCAGCCCCGGACATGCAGGCAGGAGCGGCCACGACCGGGGCCGGGGCGCCGGCCGGGTGCTTGATCTCCGCCGGCGCGCCGCCTTTTCTCTCGGCCCGGCACGCCGGCGCGTTGTACTGCTCCACTTTGACCGACGCCAGACCCCGGCTCGACGACTCTTCTCCCACGGGGAAATCCTCCGGGCACGGCAGCGGCCAAGTGCACGACCGCGAACGGCTGTGAGGCTCAAATTCCGAATCGATATCAACCTGATGCGCATCCATGCCGCTGTTCTTCATCATCATCAGCATGATAATCTCAGGCAAGGTCACGATAACAAACAAACAAACCAAAAAAAAAAAAAAAAGGACCGTCCGTCAGTGAGTGGAAATGTCCAAACTGCTCCCTAATGCAAAGAAAGAAGAATAAACGTGTATTGTTTCACACGCACTGATGATCAACCAGTATGGAAACGCCGGCAGCGGTGTGGGGTATTATCATTCTCCTCAGTGCAACAATGTGGCATCACATCAGGACAGATGAAGGTGTATCCGAGGCATCAACAACAGAATCAGTCTCTCTTCCATGTTAATCACACAACGCCGGCTGCGTTGGCTGCATGCGGGACCGAGTGGCGCTCAAGCATCCATTGTGGGAGCCAGACACACTTGGAGAACGTCTCTGTGCTCCGCGCCCGGCTGCAGCAACAGTTGATCCTTTTGACAGGACCAGGTCCAGTCCCGGTAAATAAAAGAAGAAGAAAAAACGCGTCTCAAACTCCCCAAACGGACAGACTTTATATTTGTCTCCGGGGTGTGATGTGATCCCAGCTCTACTAACTACCGTCTTTCTGCAGGTTGGACCGGCTGCCGCTCACTGCGAAGCGCAATTACTCCCCTTTAGAAACAGAAACGGGCTCTCATGAATCATTTATGTGAAGCGTTTCCAGACGAGAGAAAAAGAAGAAAAAAAAGCCCCTCGTGGATTTGATTATAGGAGCATCCTCCGCGTCTCCTCCGCGTCTCCTCCGCGCGCCCGCCCGACGCCTCACTTTGCTGGAGTAGATGTGTCCACCTTTTGTCTCCGGCTTCCCGTTGACATGTCACATGGGCAGCGTCTCTCTGCCTTCGCGCTACACGCCTGTGCGTCTCTGAAGGTTTCGGGCCACTTAACTGTAGCCTGGAATAAAGTGGAATAAGTGCTGCTTCCATTTAATTGGACGACCGCCTCGATCAAGTCACTCCCTCCAGAACAGGTTTCCAGAGGAGGAGGAGGAGGAGGCTGCGCGCGTGTGCGTGCGTGCGTGTTTGTGTGAGTGGTGGGGGAGGCTATTCCCAACAATACATTTCCTATAGGGCAGCATTTAAATACGGACACATTCAGTCACATGGATGATGTTTTTAGCCTAATTCTTTCCTCAGTGACCAATTACTAGTATTATGATACGCAGTAGGAGCAGTACTTATTCTTTAGTAATGCTGTTAACAATGATGATCATACATGTTACCAAAGATCACAATGGTTTTATTTGTCATTGTGAAGAAACCTTTAAAATATAGTGTGTAAAACTCGCTGTGCTTGTTGGAAAACAGTAAAACCACGCATTTCGTTCGTATGTCCTTATTGAAGGTTGCACATGGTGTTTTATGTACTTTGTATTAATGAGGCAGCTCCATGGGATAAAACCTTGGATTGTTCTATTTATAATTCATAATGACGTGTGGTCAATATTTATGTCTTTGCTAATGTAATCCACAAGTGAGACACTGTGTACAGTTGCAAATAGCATTTTATATCATTTTCCCCAGATCTGTTTGAGTTATTACCCCAATTTTAACGACACTGAGGTCAGATTCAAATGTACCTTTACCAGCAGAAATTGATTTATTATTCAGATGTTATTTCTTTGTATTTGAGTCCTTAAGTTGAATTTATTTATAAATTCTTTAAAGCGAAAAAGTTTCAAATCCTTCTTCTGGCTTCTTGGACTTAAAGGGGATGTCATTCTTCCATACCACTGCTGAAATCTCAATTTTTTTTGTCCTGAAAAGGATTTAACCAGCAGTCTTTTCGTATAAGCAAGAAAATGGGTACGTTTGTGAGTGACTCTATTGGGCTTCTAAAATAATTGGTTAAAATCATGGAAATATTGTGTTCACTAAAAAAGTTCAATTGCTATGAGACGGGACATGAACACACAACACCCTGCGTGGGATGAACAGACTTTTTTGTCTCCAGGAACTCGGGGAGCGCTTCATTTAGAGCCCCGTTCCTCCAATGAAAACACGAGGTTTGAGTTCCTGGGCGCCGGAGAAAGTCCTGCTATTGAAATGGTAGCGACAGCCCCCCCCTCCTCAGACAACTCCCCGGGTTCACATTTTCCACCATAACATTGTTAACATTCTATTTCCATTTACATATCATTTACTCCTTTTTTGTTGTTTGTTTTTCCCTCTGATTCATATTTCCCTTTTGCTGGTGAAACCCCCCTAATTTTTGTCAACATGCTCATCGAATGAAATAAAATCAAATGGGATTAATTACCCTGTGGGATTCTTCCCGTTTATGGGGTCAGACAAGCAAACTACCAACTCCCCTCGCTGTCTTTTGTCACACGCCATTGCCTTTGGTGGGTCTGAGTCCATAAAGTGGGCTCCATCAATAGCTGCTCTGTGTGTTGAAAGCTCCTCTGGAAACCCCCTACGCTGATAGAGGCTGCCACTCTTTGACAGCCGGTTGTCAGTGACAACCATAACCTCAAATGCACCTAAATGGAATGCTTTCATGAGGACTAAATGGGCCTATCAGCATGAAGAGCGCTGGCATTCAGTGTGTGTGTGTGTGTGTGTGTGTGAGAGTGAAAAGGGAGAAAAAGTGGAGAGAGCGAGATGCTGTAAATGGGAACAAACAGACCGAAAATTAAAAACACATGGCTCTGCGGTTTTGGAGAGGAGATTTTTATGTGCCGCAGAGACGTTGTAAGAGGAATGTGGTGTGACTCCCATCGTATGGAATGAAAACAGCGAGGAACGTGCCAGCGGGGCGGATGTAGCGTGTTCAGCTGTGGCTTACAGCAAAGTCCTCGTCATCACGGCTAGGTGATGTACCGCCGCAGCGTAAACACGAGGAACATGAGTCACACTGTTGGACACGACACGAGGCAGACAGAGAATTACATGTTTTCATACAGGCGGGAGGGGCATTTGTGCAACATGTAAAGCAGTGAGCAATAACATTCAACTCTTCCATTTCACGGCTATTATTTTCCGCGTGATTCATGTTACTTACATTGTCCCTCCATCAAATATTGATGATTATGCGTATTGCTTTCCCTGCCATTGATCTCGAAGTCCACCGACGCCCAACCGAAGGGCTGCAGTGAGTAAATAACCGACCACACACACATAACTCTATTTTGAATGGCGTGAATCTCTCTGAGGGGTCTAATATTGTGGCGAACATGGCCGGCAGTGAACCTAAAGTCGCATGAGTGCAGTGGTGCCGTAGCTGCACTGTAGCTCAGCACATCTATCGTTGGGGAAAAGGCCAATAAAATGCCGTTCAGGCTGCTTTATTCACTCGGGTAACGTCGGAGGGGTCACTCCGCAGGGAACTATCCCCCGACCTCGTGTTTCCCCACCGGTCTGATGAGGAGTTTCATCACATCTTGGCTGAATGAACCTTTTTTTCCAGCTGCAGGCGGCTGTTTTAAGTAAAAAAGAAAACCTCTGAAGAGCTGCACAACACCGTACCAGGACTAAAGAGACGGGCGTCAAGTGGCCAGAAACAACTTCCACGTCCGTGAAATTCTCAAAGACCACTTAAAGCCAAGTGGCTCAAATGAAAATCGCTTGGCGTAACGCAGCTTTAACGTTGGAGGTGGTGGATCGGTAAACCTCCCTGGGTAGTTTTGCAAGGCGGTGACGTGACCTACATTTGTCCTTTAGGTAAGGAGACCGGTTGTGAAACGCAGCGAGCACACTGTCTGGTTTCTACACTGCACGAGGACGGAAGCTTTGGAAGGCAACTTTGTTTCACATCCTTTTTGACAGTTATCCGGGTCGCCCCCGTTGTTTGCATTAGGATGAACACAAACTGGGCTCGGCGTTTAGCCTTAGCTATTCCGGGGGACCCGGTGAACACTAATTGCCTCTCCTCCACGGGTGTTCCCTCCTTCATTTTTATGCCACATCCAGTGAGTCAGGCAAACCTGCAGGATTATTGATGTGTTTACTGTCGGAGGGGAACGCCACTCCCTGCCTTGGGAAACCCTGAGGCTCTCAATTGTTGAGCAACACCGACTGCTGCCACCGCCTCCAATTGGGAAAGTTGGGACGTGCTCTTCTCTGTTCATAATGAGGCAAAATCACAAGGGAAGAGGTGGAGGCGCCCTGCGTTTTTGACTCAGAAAGCTGCATTTTAACCGTGGCCTGTGGATGTCTCCGTTACAACCCGGCACAAAGGAAACGTATCTGTCAAGACCTCGCAGCTCCCCTCAAGGTGCCACAACCCGATCCAGCTTTCAGAGAAATGCTCCGGTCTCACTGTTGTGCTTTTTTACTGTTCATCGTATTCTCTGATCGCTTGTTTCTTCACAGCAACACGATGCTTGTGGTGGGGTTTTTTCTGGACGTTCCAGCTCGCTCTTCTCTTAGCCTGTTTTATGTTGGTCTCCACAAACTACTGAGAAAAACACCTGGCTCATTAGCGGCTAAAACTATGTTCAGAGCTGGGTCTCCGACTTGGTCCGCCTGCTGTTTACTCTACAGCGCAGATACTGTGGTGTGGAGTTGGTTTAGGGATTTTCGCTGAATAACAGGTGCTTGAAAGGAGGTTAATGAGAACACTGGAACCATCCAGTTAGAACGTCAAAGGCACATAAAAGCACAACAATGAACTAAAGCGATGCCAAAGATGCCGCGAGGAACTGCCAGGTTTAGTGGTACGTTTCGGAGGTTCGGGACTGTGGCCGAGACCTTTCGGTCATCCGAACCGCTGTTAATACAAACGACACTGATCGGTGCAGCTTCACGCCTTGAAAGAAGTTTAGCTGCAGGCCAACGCGGCTAAAACGTGCTGCTTTTTCATTTCAAAGACTGCAGCCGCTTGAGTCATTTGTTCAGCACGTGTTCAACCAAAGAAGAAGGAGAACGAATGACTGAATCCCCGGCTCTTTAAAATTAGAACCTGCGTTGTTTGTGTCCACTTTGGGAATATTTGGGTTCCGCTGCAGACGCTAGCTTCGGGCTAATCTATTACACTACTCCACTTTGTTTTCAATGTTTGACCTTAAAAAACCTCACTGCTCCTTTTTTTTCCCCTCGCCGTTAATCGGTCCATAATCCCTCCCCCTCCAGCCCTCCCTCGTCTTTACAGCCAACCCCCCCGCGCCGGTTACACAAGGCGGAAGAACGTGTGGTTTTTCCAGCGGGACTCACTGCTGTGTGCGGAAGCTGTGGCAGCGGAGGGCCGGGGCATCTCAGCCCCGGCGCTGCCAGTGGCCGTCCCAGGAATGCACCCTCTCTGCGGGGCCGACCGCTGTCACCGAGGCACTTAGGCAGGAAAAAGGAGACGTTTTTTTTTTATGTCCCCCTAAAAACAAAGGGCTGCATTTGGCTCCCACGTTGGAAGTACATGCACACGTGTATTTTTTTCTTCTTCTTCTTCTTCATTTTCCAAACCAAAACACTGTGTCGCATCCCTTTGATGACTACAAATACGTTTTAATAATATAATATTTAAAGTGTCCCCCCTCAAGCGATGCTCAATGGAGAAAGGGTTCAAGCGGACGCAGTGACAGACTTCTCTCAAGTGTACCTGGCATAAAGAGGTTTAGCTAACACTACCCGACACCTGCATTTAATCCTATTTCAAATTGCACTCTCAACCATGAAATCCACTCACAAGAGGAGAAATACACGGCGATGCAGTGCCGAGGTGTTACACAGATAATCTTTCCCCCGCCACTTTTCCCCCACTGGCTTTAAAGCAACAAAAGGCAGCAGGTACAATTAAGGCCTCGGGTAGGTAGGTTCTAAAGGAGGAGGGGTCGGGTTGTTTGTGAAATTAGAAATAAAACGGGGGGAATGGTATCACACTGTGTCGGCGGGCGGTGCCAGACATATGGCAGACATTGGTTGTAACCGCACTGTGAGGATTTCTTTGGTTTGCCAAAGCTTTGATTTGACCCAGTCCCATAAAACCTCCTGATGGTGGTTGCAGTGAGTTAATCACATGAACTCTTCCAGGCCCTGCGGTCCGCTAACCCAGCACTGATCCCAGGACTCAGGCGTTGGGTCCGTACGGGCGTTTTTTGGGGGGGGGGGGGGTTTCGGCACACAACATGGCCTCGGAGGCCACGGAGCGGAGCAACGCGAACGGAAACCGGGCTTCCACCACGTCCTCAAACGCCACATCGAGCCGAGGCTCCTTTGCGACCTTGGAAAT